GCTCACCACCCGCCGACCGATACCCAGCCCGACCCGAGCAGCGATCTCGGCCTTCTGGGTAACTCCCCCCAGTTTCTATATTGGGCATGACGTGCTGTGGTATGGAATACCCCTTTGGCCAGTTTGGGTCAGGTGTCCTGCCTCTGCTTCCTCCTGGCTTCCCCTCCTCCCTGGCAGAGCATGAGACTGAGAAAAGTCCTTGGTCAGAGTAAACATTACTGAGCAACAACTAAAAACATCGGTGTTACCAGTGCTGTTCCCAGGCTGAAGGTCAAAACCACAGCACTGCACCAGCTAGTAAGGAGGAGAAAAAATGACTGCTGGAGCTGAACCCAGGACACAGCAACTTGACTGAGATATCTGAGCTAGGAGCACCATCACCCTTTACCTGGGCAAGAGTGAAGCATGTTCTTGAGGCTGCAGCTTTCCATCTGTGGTTGATGTACAGAGCCTAGGTTAATTAGGTCCTTGTCTAGGTGCTTCAGCTAAATGCCTGAGGTTGGGTAGAATCACTCTCTTGACATTTTTTGCTATTCAGCACAGTTGAGAGTGCACTTTGCCTTCATTGGTGCAAGACCTGGCAGTGTTCAAGGCCAGGTTGGACAGAGCCTTGGGCAACACGGTCTAATGTGAGGCATCCCTGCCCATGGCAGGGGGGGTGGGACTAGATGATTTTAAGGTCCTTTCCCACCCAAAACGTTCTATGATTCTATGATTCTGTGGCTGCTGGCTTAGGCTAAAAAAGACTTACACAGATGAACTCCTTTAAATCTGCAAAGAGTCCTCTGAGATCCACAAGTTCGTGTGTGTGTGTCTGCAAGTCATAGGCTACAAATAACTTGGCTTTTAACAACAACCTAGTCTTCTGGTTTGTGTATAGAGTGTTGCTGTATTGCTTTTCTATGTGGTTTTACCAGATTATCTAAATCTGTTCCTTTCTTTTCTTTTGAATAGTCTTCTACTAAGACAAGTTGCCAATGCTTTAGAGAGAGCTGTCTTTGTGGTGAAGATTTTTATATTTACGTAGCCTTCTGGAGAGCAAGAGAGACCACAGCACCAAAAAATCTGAACTCTCGCAAGTTCCAACTACGGGTAAAGCTTAAAGTACAGCGTTGAATCAGTTTCCTATGATGGTTGCGTTATGGAAACCTGCTGTTCTCCAGTGAAAGATGAAATTAGTGAACTCATGGTGGATGTTTCTGCACAAGAGCTAACTTTGATGATCTGCAACTTACTTCTCTGTGGCCATATTGCAGATTTCATCAGCTATCAGCTACGCTTCGTATATTTTCTCCAACAATTTTTGATAGATTTTATATAGAAAACCATTACTACTCTCCACTTATAGGAACCTACCATAAGAGCTATTAAATTAATTGTTAATTTACTTCAGAGTAATATATTTGACAGGTTTGCATCTTTTTGGTAATATTGCAAATTTTAATATTTTTGCTGTGAAAACTTAAGAATAGGAGAAAAGAATCATAAGACCATCAGGTTCTTTATAATTACTACTGTCACTTTTATACAGTGAGACGAATACTAGTGGTTAATTTTCACCTCTTAAGAAGATATTCCTCAAGGAAATTTATTTAAATAAGAACAATGTACTTCATCATAATATATACATGTCTGGGTTTTTTTTCATCTTTATCTCTTTTATAAAGCATTACATGGAAAAAAATACTAATGAACCAAACTATTATGTTATGTCTTCTGTTCTGTGTAATATTATAATGACATTTCCTAACATAAGGATGAAGTGATTGTATTTTTAGACATAGCAGGACTAAGCTCCAGTGCTTCACCCTCCTCAGCTGTAGAGGAATTTTGATCACTATTAGAATTTTGTATCCCTGACTCATCTAGAAGCATCTCCAGTACGGCAAATTGTATCCGAATGAGTGTTAGTATTACTTTAGCAAACTGTTGTATTAAATAACGTATGTAAGGTTTCAAAATTCATGAACTTTATGGCAACTGTAGGCTTCCCACAGAACATAAATCAGATTGTACATTTCCATATGGCTGAACAAGTAAATTATTAAAGCCTTTTCCATAATTCTTTAGTCAAACTTTTGTTAATAGCACATGATATGCCATACACTTTAAACAAACAAATAAACAAAAAAAGCCAACCCACACTCCGTTAATTTATTACTGTAGATTAAGAAACACTTTCAAAGTTAAAAGAAAAAAGTGAAACAAAAAAACTAGACATGAAGAAGTGAAACATTGTTAACTGTGAAATTCCTGCCCATTTAAGTGATATTTACTAAGACCAATGAACAACCATTGACTGTGGTTTCCAGTGACTTGCAGCTCTGGCTTTAAAGAAAGCGGTAGTTTGCTTGGTGTGAGGCCTGTAAAAAGAAGTATTTAAAAATATTCCTTGCTTATCCTCTTTCAAGTATTTGTGACATTTACTGTTATTCTCTAGAAATAAGCTGCTTGAGTTATCAACTTCTTCAGGCTTTCAGCTCCTGAAGACAAACATGCATCTCTTTCTTGACCCCTTCTACCTTGAACCGAAATGAAATAAGCTTGAAGATTGAGACATGGTGTTAAAATGTCTCAGTATGAATGAATTTCTGTTGATTACATCTGTTGAGTCTTGTTCTTGCAAGGCAAGCTAATGAGAACTCAGATTTCACTGAGTAATAAACATACAGGTTTGCTTCCCACCTGCTTACCATAGCATAACAGTATAGTTTCCACATCACATGTTCTACATGTGGTTTAAATAGTTTGCACAGCACAAGTTTATTTAGTACAAAGCAACTAGGTCCATGCCTGACCTGATCACGATTGCCTTTCCCAAAGCAGAAAAACCACCAGTCATCCTAGGATACATCATAGTTCAGCTAGTGCTCAAAGAGCCAACAACAGATGGCAGTAATCTTCACAGTTATTTGTCCCCTTGTATCCTTCAGTTGCTGGGAAGAATAATCAAAAAGGTGGACAGGCCTAAATTTGAACATCACTTGTTCTGCTACTGACATCTGAACCCTCATGTGTGGGCTGAGGAAAGAAAGAGAGGATCTTTAATGAATACCTCCCAGCAGCTGGTGGTGGGACAGTTGCAAAGGGTACCTTTTCTTGTTTTACGTCATTGCTTCATTTTTCCTGTGCAGGGCTTCAGAGAAGTGTGGAGAACTTTGCAGAATTGGCCTCTTACTGACTCATCCTCTGAATGTGTGGGAGGTATGGTGGTTTCTTAATATTTTTGTTCCTCTGCATCTTTTCATCTCAAAAGCTTACTGATCAACTGAAATGTTTCAGTATTATGGACTGGAGTCTCTGCAATAGATAAGGCATTCATTTATGCCACGTGGGCCTGTACCCATCAATCTGAAGAGCTAAGGCCATGCCTTTGTCTTGGATTTGCAGACTCTTGTCTATTGTATTCTCAATGACCCACAGATCTAGAAACAGCACGACAGGACACTATATTCTGTCCTGGCCAAATTCTACTTAAGGAACTGATTTTCTGCTCATCAAAATTCCTGTATGCTGGGCAGAATTTCTTAAGCCTTTGTTAATAAAAGCGCGTGGCTTTTCATGGAGAAATAAGTATATCTGATCTTTCAAAACTCACAATCTATAGACGTTTCTGTTAGGAGGAGGAACACAAAAGAAACCCTATATGCCAGCTGCCAGCTGTGCATTTGATGGCATCCTTGGAGGATATTTAGGCACTCAAATGATGGTTCAGTGTGAGAACTGAGGATAGAACACAAGGAGCCATTGAATGGCAGAGTTATTATTAAGGAATATACTTCAGTTTTGTCAAAATATCTTGAATTACCATTTGTAAAGAAGAAACATTTAAATGTTTGGGCTGTAATGACATTTCCTTTGCAGTTGTCACTCTTTCTCCAGCCAAAGCTGAGGAGCCAGTGAAAACAGTTCAGTAAAGACAGTGGATTCAGGCTTTATAATCTCAGACCCTCCAATCTGAGATCCCTTGACAACCCTGAAATATTATGCTTGAATTCACATATCTTGGACAACTGAATCTTGAAGAATTCT